AAGCAAAATTTTTAATACCAATACATAACGGCAAAGACAAAGATAAGAGCTTACTGGGTATTTTAGAAGCTGGTGTTGATAAATCTGACTTTAAGAAAAAACTAGTGATTGAATATTAGTTAAAAAGTAATGCTTTTGTCTGGTTTTGTTTTTTAAAAGCTATCAACATTGAGTAAACTGAATATCAGCTCAATATGTCAGTTTAGCATAGTTGGAGTCTCAAACTAAAATTCTTGACTGAGCAAGACACTCTAGCAGGTGTCCAGCTAAGTGTATGAATATTTCCAAGGGTGTTAATAGACTGCTCACTTCAGTTATTCACCTGTGTAAGTACTTTGCTGCACCAAGACTTAGCACGTTGTTGGTTTGTGTTTCCCAACCTTTACAGGGTTGAGGAATCCCTCCACCACTTTTCTGAACATGGCAGCACTCCCAGTTAAGAACCACTGTTGACACTGCCTCAGCTCACTTCAGTGATTCTCAATCAGATGTTGCTGCCTCCAAATAAAATAGCCTTACACACCTGCTACGCAGCTACCCTGGGAAGGTCTGTGACATGCACACGATACTGCAGCAGTAGGGCTCTGATAAGCCTAAAGTAGGCAAGAGCTGCCTCATGCTATAGTCCTTCCCAGACCATCCTCCTTTATGCTCCTCCCAGAACTGGAACTGTGCCATGTGCCTCTGTTTCCAGGACAAGTGTGGAAGAAGCCAGACCAGAGGTAATACAGCCACTCAGCTCCTGCTTGCTGTAGGCTGATCAAACTCCTAATGCAGGACTGTGCGTAGGGCACTTTTACCTGGCAGCTGCTGTGGCAGCAGCGTCTGCATCGCTGCACCCTTGAGGGAAGCTCACGAAACCCCAGTTGAGAACCACTGCTCTAGGGAAAGGATATTCAACCGCGCGTCAAGGGTAGGTTCTTTTTCAGTGTATGCTACTGCAGACCTGCCTAGAGACCTTCACTTCTCTGTGCTGCATCTTCCCTAAATCTCAAAAGTTAATAATATTTGCCCACCATTATGATTTATGACTTCAATGAAGCTGACACTCTTTGCTGAACAAGACTTTGCTAATAGCTGAGTGCTTTCTAGATCAGGGCCTCTATCTGCCAAGTTAAGTATTCTTATTCACAGAAAGAACAACAATACAAGTTTGCCCACACTGTGGTTCAACAGTTACTTGGTGGTTCATTCCCCAAATTAGTTTAATCTTTTTGCTCATTCAGTCCTAAGCCTCTTCTAAGACTATCAAGAAACGTGTCAGCTGCAGCAATCTTTCTTGGGAGACTGACAGACATCCAGTAGCAATAAAACTGAGAGCATCAACTAGGCTTCTGAAACTGCTATCAGATAATAACTGCTTATTATAAATGCCCTAAAACTTAAGAGCCAAAACTAATAATATTTTGACATGCAATAGAAAAATAAAAAGGTTTCTGACAAACCACAGGAATTGAAAAAACAAACAATTATGGTACAGAACAGGATAAATAAAGAGATTATATCATGTAGGAAAGAAAGTTGATTTGTTTGTATTTACTTTCTTGAGGTATTTTAATACATACAATTAAATTACTTAAACCAAGCTAAATGGGACGTTAAGCAAGAAATGAAATATAGATTAAGTTTATAGTAGGCAAATACAACAGGTGTAACTATGAAACATAGTAAATTCTGTAAAAAAATTGCTGTGTAAAATATGTGGTCCATGGAGTTTGATCTTATCCACCCAGTTACCTATATTGCCAGCATCACTGTAGTATCCCTGTAATAACATGAAAAATTTTAATCTCAAAACTCCCCTGCATGTAGCACAATATTATGAGCCCCATTTGCAGACAGAGAAGTAAAGTGTGGGGATATTGTAGGCCTCCATTTTCAGAAGCATCCTCCAATTCTTGTTGACACAACCTTAGCACCCCTTTGATTTTAAATAGGGTATTCAGCCTAGGACAGGACACCCAAAAAAAATCATGTTAGTCAAAATCAGTGGTCACTTTTGAAACTCACTGGCCTATATCACTTGTTGTAGGTTACACAGTCTGTCTATGGTGGAAGTACCACCTATCTGTGGCAAAGGTGAAAATGGAGACCAGATTTTTTCCAGAATCCACCTAGCCTTAACTCTTTCAATCTGAATGTACATAAAGTCCTTCACATTATAGATGCCACATGCTATTAAAGAAATGCCCAGGGTTCACCACAGAGATACACAAAGTTCATTGCTGGGCAAACTGATTCATGCACAAAAAATGAACATAACGCTCTGCATAGCAAGATCGCAAAAAGTAAAGCAGAAGTCCAGTTTACTTTGTGTGTACACATCCCACTCCTACACATTATAGGAGAGCAAGGCCTTCCTCCCCATGGAAACTCCCTTTCCTATATTATGCTGTGCACTACATGAAACACGCTTGTCTTTCCACTTCAATGTGGACTGTTTCGGGGCTTCTGTACATACAGTATATAGGTCCTGATCGACAGATCACCTAACTCCAGGTACAGCTTTAAACATGTGAACAGTTATATTAATATTAGTGACTTTAATGGTACTGGTTGGTCTTAAAGTTATGCACGAGCTTATGTCATCTGCTGGCCTGGACTCAATCCTGCAGTCCTTTCCTCAATATAACTTCCACTGAAGTCAATGGCAGTTTTGCTGGCAACAGATTTACAGCACAGGCCTTAGGTTTGCAAGGCATTAATTGGAAATTCAGTAAAACATTTTCAGCTAATCAAAACACCGGGAAGAATCCTATGTTTTCTGAATTGTGTGTTTACTTGAACCTGTATTCAGTATTTTGCAGCAGCAACTAGGATAAATCATGTACATGATGACAGGCTGAACTCTGAGCTGATGGGACAGTTTCTGTAATTTGCTGAAGGTCAATCGCAGGTGGATCTCAGGGAACACTGCTCCCTGCTACCCCACACTTTTAAATGGGTTATTGTAGTTACTGTGAAACTGAGATCAGAATCTGAACCTCTCACAATACAGAGATTTATGAGAAGGTAATGTTACTCTACTCGTTTTAAAATTAAATTAGATAGTGACTATTTCTCCTGAAACCTTGTGACTTAAAAAAAAAGAATTCTTAACTTTTATCAAAAGTTTTATCCCCAAAGTAAATGAAAGTATCTAGTCATAACCAAACTCAAGGAAATTTCTATTCTGCCCTCAAATAGACACATTTTTATATTACTTTTTCAGTTTCAAAAAAAAAAATTTCCTTTACAGCTTCCATTACTCCCTTCTCTTAAACAGATTTCACCCCTTTTTTTCCTTTGTAATTTGTAAATTACATTTCAACACTACGTAGGGCCACATTTACATTGGTACTAAGATTGTGTGTAGAACTGAAGTGTCCATTCATTGCAAAGATGCATGAGGAATACCCAATCAGGCCAGCACACAGAATTCCAGGTATCCATACAGCTCCATCATTTAAGTTTCTGAGATGATTAAAGAGGAAACTAAGAAGCTAAGTCTCAAAGCTCTTCCTCAGACCTTTATCCCCCACTGCACATAGTTTGACTTCAAATCTCAGCAACATTCATAAATCAAATGCTTGTTTTAGCTCTGATCAACAGTCAGAATCCCACTGGGGAGCTTTCGAATTTTTTCACTTTGTAGAAACTGTTGCATCCATGACATGGAATTAAACTCGTCAAGATTTTAAAACCCGAGTAGCAATTTCTGAAAAGGGCAGTTTCCAATTCAACTGTCCTGTAATGAATTATTTTAAGAAGTTTGTGTTGCATTCAGTTTATTTTTGACTCTACAGTTAACGTACAGCTCGCACATCTACACACATATAACCTACTCACTGAAAAACCTGAATAATTGGAATTCAGGTGATAATCTCTATAGGAATCGGCAAAGAGACAGAATCCATTTCCCCAAACCCTGTGTCCTCACAGATGTTTTCCCAACCTACAGACTAGTAATGCAGCTACTGCCTTTTCATAACATTGCACCAAAATATCTTCACTGTCCTGTCTGGGACCATCACCTATCCTATATCTGTTAGAGGCTGATGAAGACCAAGGTGATATTACTAATTATGCTTTTTTATGAAACCTAAGCTCACTTCAAAACTTTTAAGTATATATAAAATATCAACACACCACAAACAATACTACTTTATTTTCCATCATTTGGGGGCCAAATTCAGATGGATGTCACTAGGATCAAATGCACTTAAAACCACTCAAGTTCTGGCCACCTACACCAGCTCTGATTGAAATGATCACTTTACTTTGGTTTAGAGGGTGTCAGCCTCTTCCAAAACAAGGAAATGCAAAAATGCTCATGCCTTCAAAAGTACTTTGGACATTGTGTCAATTTAGCCACTTCGGACTTGTCTTTCAAATTTAATAGCATCTTGTATTATCAAATGCCAGGAAGACAAACAGTAACACAGAAAGAGCAAGAATTACCAGGCAAGAGAGTTTTGCAGGTTAAGGCTGAGTTAACTCCTCTTCTTGTAGCACTACAGCTCAAATAACTTTCTCCTGACCCCTTAGGATTTCTGAATAATCATCGTAATCCTATCTGTATATATTCATTCTAAATCATTCTTCTGCACCTTATACCTAGTTGAATGTTTTACAAGGAGTTATGCATTCAGGAAGTCTTTGAATGGACAATGTTGCACTTCCCATACTGAAATCATGACTGCACGGGTTTTAAAACTTTAGCCACAGTTCAACCAATTTCCCCTAAAAATCCAGAACTTTGTTTTAAATCATGAGCTAATGAGTCCTCACCATCCAAAGCCTTCAACTAATCCTGCTAATAAAGCCCACCCCTTTCGAAAGCTCAACACAAACTTTCTGTGTAGTCTGGTCGAGACTTGGAGCACCCATGACAAGACATGTTTCCTGAAGTGCTAAAGCCTGAGCAAGCATCTGCTTAATGAAAAGGAGCAGCAAGAGAACCTGTATCGTATTAACAGCAATTATGCTCTTGTTCTTGTGTGTACAGTTTACATACTTACCCAGAAAGGCAAATGGAAATTACAGACAGAGGAAGATGAAGCTGTCTCGAAGCCTTTGTCATGTGATAGTGACCTATAAAGTATCAAATAAAGGCACAGCATCAGCACATCATGATTTTACAATATTGCAACTCTCCCTGCCAACAAGAGGAGACCTCCCAAAACTTAGAACTTGCCTCCCCCTTACCCCCCTCCTAGTTTGCGTTAAAACGGGCTGACAGTGGCAAGCAGTGAACAAAAGATGCACCGTGTCTTTAAAGGACACTGGGACTGGGCAAATGGAACAAATCATCTGAGTGTGCATCAGCGGGGTGGGTTATTTTTTTCTCTCTCCCTCTCTCTCTCTTTCTCTCTCCATGATACATACAACACAGCAAAATAAAACGCACAAAGTTGATCACCATCTGCACGCAGGAATAAATAACAATACAGCCCCGCAACTTCCACGAGGGAATCGATTGATCCCCAGCCTAAATACATTATAATAACAATAATGAGAATAAAACAGCAAGCCCACATTGCAGGTAGGAGACAGAGAGAGGTTGCAACGTTGTAACACAGTTTCAGGTAATGCCCATTCCCCCTTTCGCAGCTCGGAGCTGCTAAGAGTCCTGAAATGGCAAAACAAACCCCTCCACCATCGCAATCCACACGGAGATGAGAAAGCCCCTAATCCAGTGCATGGGGAAAAGCCTTTGCAAACCACTGCCCTCCCCCCCACTCCACCCTGTGCGAAGTGCATGTAGAGCCACCGGAATCTGGGTTCTGGGGTGGGGTGAAAAGAAAGGTATTAAATATGGAGAAAGGCTGAAGAGGACCCGAGGTTTCGCCTGCCTGCTTCCCCCCCGCCCTTGGTCACCATCAAGTTTGCATCTTAGTTACAAAATGTCGATCTTAAAGGCTGACAAGACACAGGGAGAGGGGGAGAGAGAAGAGAGAGAGAGAAGAGAGAGAGAAGAGAGTCCATCTTGCTTAGAGGGGGGAGGAGAAGAGCAATAATGCAATGCATAAATCTCACCCTCCCAGGGGGAAAAGTCTGCACAACACCTTTGGGGCAGGCAAGGCAGGCAGGAG